TTTTTTTGAGACATAGTCTCACTCTGTGCCTTAGGTAGAGTGCTGCGGTGTCATTATAGCTTATAGTCACCTCACAATCTTGGGCTCAAGCGATCATTTTGCCTCAGCCTTCTGCGTAGCTGGGAGTATAGGTGCCTGCCACCACACCTGGCTAGTTTTTTCTATTTTTAGTAGAGAGGGGTCTTGCTCTTGCTTAGGCTGTTCTTGAATTCCTGAGCTCAAGCAATTCACCCACCTCACCTCCTGGAGTGCTGGAATTACAGGCATGAACCACTGCACCTGGTCACCTATTTAATTTTAGAAAGTTTTCATTACCTTAAAAAAAAAAAAAACCCATAGCCCTTGGCACAAACTCCCCGTTCCCTGTCTCCCTCCCTGTCTCCCTCGGTCCCTGGGTATCACTCGTGTACTTTTAATCTTAATGGCTTTTTTTATTCTGAACATCTCACATTGAATTATACAGCATGTGGTCTTTTGGTGAGTGGCTTCCTTTCATTTAACAAAATGCTCTCACAGTTTTCCAGAATGTACTATGTATCAGCACTTTATTCTTTTTTATGACTAAATAACATTCCATTGTGTATGGAATACCACACTTCCTTTGTCTAGTCATCCATCAAACACTTGGCTATTCAGAATAAGGATCTATGAACATTCATGTTTAAACACCTGTTTTCAATTCCTTTGGATTTATGCCTATAGAATTGCTGGGTCACATAGTAAATCCGTGTTTAAATTTTGGAGGAAACATCAAGTTATTTTCCATGGCTTTCCCATTTTCTATTCCCATTAGCAATGTATGAGGGTTCCAGTTTCTTCACATCTTTGCCACTACTTCTTATCATGATAGCCATCTTTGTGGGTGTGAGCTATAACAGCATCTCATTGTTTTTTTAATTTGCTTTCTCTTTTTTTTTTTTCTTTGAGACAGAGCCTCAAGCTGTCCCCCTGGGTAGAGTGCTGTGGCATCACAGCTCACAGCAACCTCTAATTCCCGGGCTCAAGCGAGTCTCCTGCCTCAGCCTCCCAAGTAGCTGGGACCACAGGC